CCCTGCGAATTTTAAAAATCCCTTCCTGTTTGCTCAGCCCGGCGTGGCGTGGAGTGCTATCAGCGAATCTTTCCAGGTGACCATGCCTCCACGCGCCAAGCGAGCCCCAGCATGGAGCAATGGCGAGTTGCTGGACCTCATCAGTGTTTGGGGGGAGGAAGCTGTCCAGTCCCAGCTGCGCTCCAGCCGTAGGAATTACGATACCTTCGGGAAGGTATCAAAGGACATGATGGAAAGGGGCCATGACCGGGACCCCCTGCAGTGCAGGATTAAAGTGAAGGAGCTGCGGAGTGCCTACCACAAAGTCTGCGAGGCAAATGGCTGCTCGGGTGCTCCCCCCGCGACCTGCCGATTCTACAAAGAGCTGGATGCAATACTTGGGGTTAACCCCACCTCCACTCCGAGCACCACCATGGACACTTCAGAGCCGGTGTGGGCGGGGGGGGGAGGAGGAAGAGGAGGAGGAGGAAAACGGGAGTGAGGGTGGTGGACCGGATGGAGACACCCCGGAATCCCTGGAGCCATGCAGCCAGGAGCTCTTCTCGAGCCAGGAGGAAGGTAGCCAGTCGCAGCGGCCGGTACTTGGTGGAGGACAAACAGAAGAGCAGGTTCCCTGTAAGCGGCTTTTTTTTCGGGAAGTTGTTTTTCAGGAAGGAATTTTTTTGGTGCGGGCTCTTTGGGAGAGGAGGGTTAGGCATGCATGCCTAGATGCGGAATAGTGCATTGATGTGGTTTATCACATCGCGGTAATCAGCCTCGGTAATCTCTTCGAATGTCTCATCCAGAACGTGTGCAATGCGCTTGCGCAGGTTTATCGGGAGAGCCACCGTGGTCCTTGTCCCACCCAAGCTAACGTGTCCGCGCCACTGTGCCGCGAGGGGCGGGGGGACCATTGCTGCACACAGGCAAGCTGCATATGGGCCAGGGCGGAAGCCGCATTGCAGTAGAAGACCCTCCCTTGCTTCCCAGGTCACCCTTAGCAGCGAGATATCGTCCAGGACGCACTCCTGTGGAAAATGTTGGGACAGTGTTCAGTGTAGGTGCCCCCTGCAGCTGTTGACTCTCCCCAAGGCATAGAAACCCAGAGGACAGTGAGGCCTGAAACAATCAGTCCCCCTTACTCACCATTTTGAGGCTCCCGTGGGATATGTGCGCTCTGTTTGGGACGGGAAAATTAGGCTATTGTGTAGAAGACCCTGTGTGTTTTCTACTCCTTAAGTGCAGGGGAAATCATTGCTCTGTCTGGTATAAACAATGCTGCCTCTGTTAAATGTTGCATTTTGCCTATACAGCTGCATCAACCTTGAGACCTCAGCCGTCCCTCTTATTGCCTGGTCAGAGACTGCAAAGACTGAGGAAGAGACCGCGAAAAAGCAAAAAAGACATGCTGCAAGAAGTGATGCGGCAATCTATTAAAGAGAATGAGAAAGCACAGAACTGGAGGGAGAGAGAAAGCAGGATCCGCCAGGAAAGCGCAGTGCACCGGCGGCAAAGCACGGAGCACCGGCAGCAAAGCACGGATCGGCTCATAAGCATCCTGGAGCGCCAAGCAGACGCTATCCAGGAGCTCATAGCCATGCAGAAGGAGCAGTACCGCAATCGCCCCCCCACCACAGCCCTTGTCCCAAAACTCTTTCCGTTGTGCCCCATTATCACCTCCAACCCACTTTCCCCAACTTCCGTGTTCTTCACGCCACCAGCTACCTCCAACGCCAGTATCTTCACCACCCAGCCCTGAAAACCACGACCCTTACCCTCTGCACTCAACCCCCATCACCATGCAGTATAGCTATCCTGAAGTGCAGCACTCACTGCACAGCACACCAGACAGAACATACACGAATCTCTGATTGTACTGTTCCCCACTCCACCCCCTTGCCCTTTCTGATTCCCAAGCAGTTGTGTTTCTTTTCAATAAATGGATTTTTTGGCTTTGAAAACATTCTTTATTATTGCATAAAGTAAAAGATTCCTTAGCCCAGGAAATAAACAGGCACTGCAAGTCTGCTTCGCAAACACTGATTCCTAAAGATTGGGACTACTGCACTTCACTCCCATGCAGGGCACCAGATATCATTGCTGGTTTTCAGCCTCAAATTGCTCCCTCGAGGCATCCCTAATCCTTGCAGCCCTGCGCTGGGCCCCTGTAATAGCCCTGCTCTCTGGCTGTGTAAATTCAGCCTCCAGGTGTTGAACCTTGGAGGTCCATGCCTGAGTGAAGCTTTAACCCTTCCCTTCACAAATATTATGGAGGGTACAGCACGCGGATATAACCGCGGGGATGCTGTGTTCAGCCAAGTCCAGCTTCCCATACAGAGATCACCAGCGGCCCTTTAAACGGCCAAAAGCACACTCCACAGTCATTCGGCACTGGCTCAGCCTGTAGTTGAAACGTTCCTTGCTGCTGTCAAGGCTCCCTGTGTAGGGTTTCATGAGCCATGGCATTAACGGGTAAGCGGGATCTCCAAGGATCACAATGGGCATTTCAACTTCCCCTACCGTGATCTTCCGCTCTGGGAAAAAAGTCCCGGCCTGCATCTTCCTGAACAGCCAAGTGTTCTGAAAGATGCGTGCATCATGCACCTTTCCGGGCCAGCCTGTGTTAATGTCAATGAAACGCCCATGGTGATCCACAAGTGCTTGGAGAACCATAGAGAAATACCCCTTCCGATTAACATACTCGGATGCTAGGTGGGGTGGTGCCAGAATAGGAATGTGCATCGCATCTATCGCTCCTCCACAGTTAGGGACCCCCCATTTGTGCAAAGCCATCCACTATGTCCTGCACGTTACCCAGAGTCACGGTTCTTCTGAGTAGGATGCGATTAATGGCCTTGCAAACTTGCATCAACACGATTCCAACGGTCGACTTTCCCACTCCAAACTGGTTTGCGACCAACCGGTAGCAGTCTGGAGTTGCCAGCTTCCAGATTGCAATAGCCACCCGCTTCTCCACTGGCAGGGCAGCTCTCAATCTCGTGTCCTTGCGCCGCAGGGTGGGGGAGAGCTCCTAACACAGTCCCATGAAAGTGGCTTTTCTCATCCGAAAGTTCTGCAGCCACTGCTCGTCATCCCAGACTTCCATGACGATGTGATCCCACCACTCGGTGCTTGTTTCCCGAGCCCAAAAGCGGCGTTCCACGGTGCTGAGCATGTCCGTGAATGCCACAAGCAATTTCGTGTCGTACGCGTTACGCAGCTCGATAGCATCGTCGGACTCCTCACCCTCACTCTCACTGTCACTTTGGATCTTAAGGAATAGTTCGACAGCCAAACGTGACGTGCTGGCGAGATAAGTCAGCATACGCCTCAGCAGTTCGGGCTCCATTTCCCGCAGACAGATCGCGCTGCACAGAAACTGTTGAAAGATGGCGCCAAAGGTGGACGGAAACAAAGGGATTTCTGGGATGCGAAGCGATGCATCACGGGGAGTTGGGACAGGACTCAGAATCCCCCGCACCCACGCCCCCTTCCCAGAACCCACGGCGCCAGAATGGGAAAAGGTGCTCTGTGGGATAGCTGCCCATAATGCACCGCTCCCAGTGGAGCTGCAAATGCTGCAAATGTGGCCACGCCAGTGCGCTGGCAGCTGTCAATGTGGACAGACTGCAGCGCTTTCCCTACTCAGCTGTACGAAGACAGGTTTAACTCACAGCGCTGTACATCTGCAAGTGTAGCCAAGGCCTGTGTTTGGTTTTTGATAAGCAGCTCCCGGAGCATCCGGAGTTCACAACAAAACAAGGAGAGGAACCTTCACTTAAAAGGATTATGGGGAGTTTCCGGAGGTCAATCGCTGCGTAATAAGATTACTCCCCGTTTACACTGGAGCACCAGCGTCTCAGCCACTCCGCACCAGCTGTTAATCCTCTCGGGGAGGTGGAGTACATGCAGCGCTGTAGCCACGGAGATACAGCGCTGTAAGTGCCTTGCCAGTGTGGACGGGGAGTGAGTTACAGGGCTGGGGGAGGATTTCTTGCACTGTAACTCGCAAGTGTAGCCAAGGCCTCAGTGACTTCCTGTTGCAGGGAGTTTCACAAGGTAACTACCCATTGTGTGAAAAAGTCTTTCCTTTTATCAGCTTTGAATTTCTTACATTTTAACTTCATTGAATGTCCCTTCTTGTTGTGTTATGAGACAGAGAGAACAGAAGTTCCTGATCTAGCTTCTCTATAGCACTCAGTGTGATAGGCAGGGCTGATAACTCAATCCAGTATTAAGGTTGCCTAAAACTTCCCATTGTAACATCCCGTTATAGCTTAGAAATGTGCCAAACTTTAACCGTTTGGTGTGAAATTTTCCATCCCCCGTGTTTGCTTCAGGCTGAATTCTTTTTTTTAACGGTTCAACCATATCCGAGAGCAGGGCTAGGGGAATATATGTTGTTTTGCCAATGTTAAAAAATTCTGGTGACCTTTTCTTTGAACGGCTCTAGCACCCCGGCCTTTGGAGCTACTTAGGAAATGCCAGAAGTGAGGTCGTCTGTGCAAACTTAATTCACCCCCCTTGTGCACATCCATTATCATACAGTCTTCAATTCCATGATCACTTAGTATTCTCTCCACCGACCCTCTGCCTTATTCAGTGCACAGAACACATGGCACCCACTTAATGAGCAGCTATTCAATATTTTCACCATCTTCAGCAGCAGCTGCTGCACGTCCGTGGCACAGCTCTGGCATCCATCCATCCACTGGTTGAAACCATCTCCAGAAGTCTCCCCCTCACCCCTGTTCAAATACTGCAATGACCTAGGAAATTAATACATCAAAATCTTGATTGTGAAGCTTTTAAGTCTGCTACACACATAACACACCTGATATAAACCCACAACAGCAAGGAAATGATACGCTTGGCCCCCTTTTTTGGAGGTTGTGGAGCTGTTTCTTTGTTTCGCAACCAAGTTTCCTGTGTATTAATAAATAATAGATCCCACATTTTTGTTAGCAGCTTGGCCAATTTTTTCTTCTATTCCTTCAGAACTCTCAGACAAAACATTCTGGAGAAGCGCGACGCAAGGAATCCATGGTTTCTCTTACTGTTCCAATGTCCAGCATTGCTCCAACTTCCTGTACTTTGGTGACTCACTGGACTGTCACAGGCTTCCTGCTTTGGAGCATCTTCAAGGATTTCTTGTTGGTTGTTGTCTTTGGTAATTCTTCTCCGATTCCCCCTCAGCCCTTCCAGTGTCCATCTAACATTTACCTGCCCTAGATGATGCTCAGGCCTGACTCAGACTGGATTGTTGGACACCTTCTACCTTGCAATTCTGTTCCATTTTCAGTCTGAGCTCTGCTCTGCCAGTATCATGAACTGTTACATCCTAAGGATATGTCTACACGGTGATCAAAACCCCGCGGCACCGACTCTCAGAGCAAGGTCAGCTGACTCGGACTCATGGGGCTTGGACTGTAGGGCTAAAAATAGCAGTGCAGATGTTTGGGCTGGGACTTCAGCCTGGGCTGTGAGACCCTCCCCCTTTCTGAGCCAGTCACCAGCCTGGGAGCATCTAGTGGCAGAGAAATTCATGGAGGTTAAGTCCATTAATGGTTATTAGCCAGGATGGGTAAGGAATGGTATCCCTAGCCTCTGTTTGTCAGAGGGTGGAGATGGATGGCAGGAGAGAGATCACTTGATCATTACCTGTTAGGTTCACTCCCTCTGGGGCACCTGGCATTGGCCACTGTCGGTAGACAGGATACTGGGCTAGATGGACCTTTGGTCTGACCCAGTACAGCCGTTCTTATGGTCTTATGTTCTTAAATGGCACATGGGGCTTCTGGGACAAGCAGAATCCAGCCGGTTAACACGTTGCCAGGCTCTGCAGCGATGGGACAGGGAACTCGGTGCGTTACCGTAACTGGCAGAGTCCACGTGTCACAAGGAGTAACCGTTATGAAGCCCCTAGTTACTGGAACTCGCTGTCTTTCAGATCCTTCCAGAGGTAACGCCAGAGATTGTTCCAGGCACAGAGGAGAACAGGACCATCTACAGGTAGGAGCTTCAGGGTGCCGCAGGATGTGGCCCTAGAAGCCCTGTCCACGCCTGACGTCTGCGTTTTCATTGTGCCCCCAGAGCTCGCATCCCCAGCGCTGGCTCCTTCCGCTGCTCCGAAACGGGGCTTGGCTTTGAGGTGAGCGCAGCAGTGACCGTCGAGTACAAATACAGCTCCTGGGCGGAGAGTCTGAGCCCATCTGCCAGGCAGGAGTGGATGGTCGCCGGCCCCCTGTTCCACATCAGGGCCGAGCCTGACACGGTGCGAGCCGTGCACCTCCCCCACTTCGTGTGCCTTGCAGGTAGGGCAGAAACGGGGCGTCACTGGGCTCGATGCTGGAGTCAGGGGCTGATGGCGGCTTTGAGCCACAGTCTGCAGCCAGTGGGGCTGGGGGAGGGGGTCTAGCTCCAGCAGCAGCTCCTGGAGCACTGGGGTAGTGCGGGCCCCAGGGGACTGTGCGTTGTGCCCTCCGCTCCCCTCCCAGCTCCTGCTCCAGCTTGGCTCCACTGGCTAGTGTGGGCTGTGGGGCTAGTGTGGGCTGTGGGGTCTCCTGGGGTGCGGGGGGGTCCAGCAGCCCTGCCAGGGCTTGTCACCCTGGTCTGTGAGCAGCAGAAGCACAAGGGGGGACTGTGCCTGACCCTGCTCAGGGGAGCAGGCAGCCGAGAGGAAGGCTCCTGGCTGCCTCTCCCTCCTCCTCCTCGCTGTGCAGGGCCAGGCACAGTCCGGCCCAGTTCGGGTGTAGATCCCCCACCCTGACGAGAGTGTGGCTCCCCCTGCAGGGGATGGTGGGTAGATCCTCCAGCGCCTGAGAGTGAGACAGGTGCCCGTCACATGGGAGTGCAAGGACCCCCTGGGGCAGGAGAGGGGGGAGGGGCAGGGACTCTGGCGCAGACCCCAGGGCTCTGTGTGAGCAGGCTATGGTAAGACAGCAGCAGGATACCATGCCCGGTGCACACTCAGTAGACAGGCTGGGCTGGGGAGAAGGCCCAGAGGAGATTCAAGCCACTGTGTCCCTGCGAGAGGTCTACAGGACCTTTCTGTGTGTTCCCACCTCCCAGGACCCTGGCACTCGCTTCTGTAGAGCTTCTCAGCCCTTCATGCCTATGGAAGTTGTCCTCAGCCGGGGCGATGGGCACATCTGCTGTCTTGCTGCAGGGATATCGGTGGCCTGAAGTAGCGGGGCACCTCACTCATCCAAGAGGCTACTAAAGAAGTTGAGTAGCTATGTGGGTGAGAGGCAAAGTATCTGCATGGATCAACAACTGGCTAGGAGAAAGAAAGCAGAGAGTGGCGTTAAATGGTCAATTTTCATCATGGCCTCAAGGTTCCATACTAGGTCCCATGTTGCTTAATATATTTATTAATTATCTGGAACGGGGAATGAGCACTGAGGTGCGAAAATTTGCAAATGACACACCGTTATTGAGCTTAGTCAGGAGGAGACAGGACTGTGAGGAACCTCAGAGAGACCTAACCACGCTAGGTGAATGGGGAAATGAAATTCAGTGTCGACAAATGCAAAGTTAGGCACATTGGAGGGAAAAATGTAAATTACGCAGACATCTTGCAGGGTTCTAAATTAACTGCATTGACTCAGGAAAGGGACCTGTAGGTCGCTCAACTGAGACCTCTGCTCAGTGTGGAGGTGCGATCAAAAAAGTAAACGAGATGTTAGGATGCATAAGGAATAGGATGGAGAATAATATGGAGATTATTATTCTGCCTTTATACAAATCAGTGGTGCAGTTGCATCTGGATACTGTGTGCAACACTGACCACCACATCTCAAAAAGGATATTGCAGAACTGGGGGAGATACAGAGCAGGGTGACGAGAACGATCAAGGACCTGGAAAAACTTCCCTGAAGAGAAATTGGGATTGTCGGCCTGACGAACAGGGCTGGCTTCAGGCACCAGCTTGGCCAGCAGGTGCTTGGGACGGCCACTCCGGAGAGGGGCGGCAGGTCCCAATCCTTTTTATCTCAGATCTGCTTGATGCTTCAAGCAGGGGAAGCTTAAGTCATAAGGCTGAGATCTCCTGTCCTAATCTGGAATCACCCTGAATATAAACATTGGACTATAACCTAGGGAACAATTTTGACAGAACTCTTTGCAACTACAAAGCTCACCATGTCTACTATAAACCTGAATCTCAACAACTGTACTCATGTCTGTATGTATACTGATCTTTTAACCAATACTCTCTTTTCTTTTTTAATACATTTTAGTTTAGTTAATAAGAATGGGCGGTAAGCGTATATTTGGGTAAGATCTGGAAGATTCATTCACCTGGGAGGTATCCAGATGCAACTGCACCACTGATTTGTATAAAGGCAGAATAATAATCTCCATATTATTCTTTGACAGCTCGGAGTCCTTAGGCAAACAGTAGGCAATTATGGAAATTTTAAAGTAGACCTATTTCCTAAGCATTGCGGGTAATTAGCTACACATATTAACACAAGGCAATTGCTTGTTTTCCACCATTTTCAAGTGATTTGCTATACATTTCAAAGAGAGATGAATACAGCGATATCCTATGTTTACAGTTCATCTAAATGTTAATCTGTCCTTTTGATCTCTAAATTAACAGAATACAGCATAGACAGGGACTGTTTGATTACATTGTTAACCTCTAACAATATATATGTAAATACACAAAACCACAAACATTATCTACCAAAATGTTTCAAAGGGTTGAAATTGGGTCAATTATCCTGCAGGATGCTTAACCCTTTTTGGCTGTGCGTCGCATCTGTGGAACTCTCTGACACAGGAATCCATTAAGGCCAAGAACTTTGCAAGATTTGAACAAGGATCGGACATTTATATGGATAACAAGAATATCGAAAGTTGTCATCATTACCGATAAGAACAATATTGGCAGGAATGTTAAACCTCATCCTTAAGGTTTAAGGCGGGGTGGCCAACCTGAACCTAAGAAGGAGCCAGAATTTACCAATGTACGTTGCTACAGAGCCACAGTAATAAGTCAGCAGCCCCGCATCAGCTCCCCTCCGCCCCGCTCCCAGCACCTCCCACCCACCAGCAGCCCCGCCGATCAGTGCCTCCCACTCCCTCTCCACACCTCCTGATCAGCTGTTTTGTGGGGTGCAGGAGGCTCTGGGGCAGGGGGGGATCGGGGATGAGCGAGGGCACGTCAGGCTCAGGGGAGGGGGCAGGAAGGGGGGAGTAGGGGCAGGGCCTGGGGCAGAGCCGGGGTTGAGCAGTGAGCACCCCCCAGCACATTGGAAAGTTGGCGCCTATAGCTCCAGCCCCGGAGTCGGTGCCTGTACAAGGAGCCGCATATTAACTTCTGAAGAGCCGCATGTGGCTCCGGAGCCACAGGTTGGCCACTCCAGGAAGGCAATCTCTAGTTATTGCAAATCAGGATGAGACTAAGTGGTGGGGGGAGGCACATTACTCATTTTCTGCTTAGTGCAGGCAGGGCAGGCTCCAGCGCTTTTGCCACCCCAAGCGGCGGAAAAAAAAAAAAAGAGAAAAACGAAAAGCCCGATTTAGCTGCCAACGAGGACTAGAGGCGGAGCGATTGAGCTGCCGCCGAAGTGCCGCCGAAGAGGAAGAAAGGGACTGAAGGACCCGCTGCCGGATTGCCACCGCAGACCCGGACCTGCCGCCCCTTTCTATTGGCCGCCCCAGGTACCTGCTTCCTTCGCTGGTGCCTGGAGCCGGCCCTGAGTGCAGCGTTTTTGGACCTTCCTCTGTAACATCTGGCACTGGCCACTGTCAGAGACAGGACACTGGACTACCTGGGCCTCAGATCTGACCCAGTCTGGCCATTCCCACGTTTCTAAATTTCTGTCACAAATTTTCAGTTGAACCAGAAAGCGAGGCTGTCCTACAATTCCCACATCCTGGAAATTCACTCCAGTGCAGAGGGTCCACACAAGGCCCTGGGCACCACGTAGGGCCCACTTTGTTACTAACACAAGATAGGAACAGTGTATTGTGTCTCATTTGGGCCTTCTACGCTGGGGTGTATCTTGACCATATTGGCAAACTCCCCAAGGCTGGGCAGAATTAAATGAGGGAGAGACAGCAAGGTACAACGGAACCTCGTTGTCTTACTGATCCTTTTGCAGATGGAGCAGATGAAAGCTTGTGCCACATTGCCCATTTTGAAGCTGGCAGGATGACCCTGGAGAGTCCAACTAGAATTAATAACTTCTTTGCTGTCCTGGAGAATCCCAGCTTCTCGTGCTTTGGAGAAAGATATGTTCGGCCATAAAATTTATTCCCATCCATTCCCTTGTGCTGATCTACCGGACGCTCAGTGCTGCAGATGTAACTCTCCACCTCTACCTGATACCCAACGACCACTCACTGAGGAAGGTAAAACACAACCCGATTTATATAGCACTCCCACTGCCAAGATGGCCGGGCTCTGCCCAGCTGTTCGAGTGAAAATGAGCCACATAAATACACTGAAACAGCTAAGCAAAGTCCTGAAAAGCCAAGCACCATGCACTGTTCAGAGAGGGAAAGGGAGAGGCCTACCTGCTAGCCACTGCCAGAAAACATTGCAAACAGTGGTAGAGGTCTGTGCAGGGGATCTGAAATCTCTCTCACTGAGGGTTTAATACTGCCATCCAGCACTGTCATATTTGAGCATAAGGTCTAGGGGGTCAAATCCTGCTGATGACCCAGTGGGGATCCTTATGGCTGCCCCTAATGGAGTCTTTTTCCATTTTTTTTAACTGGATTGTTTAATTCACAGAGTAAGAACATCCTTAAAAAATAGGTTTCATAGTTTAAAAACGTATGGTCAATTATGACTTGACAGAACAAATCCCAGCTTTTCCACCCTGCGGTCACGTTCCACCCATTTTAATTGCTTGCCTCACACACTGGGAGGTGTGAGGGTTAAGAGATATGGCTGTAGCCCACTGGTGAGTGTGTAATACACAGACTCACCAGAGGGCTACGTGGACTGTAGTCTTTTCCCTTTCTGATGCGCTGCGTGAACGGAGAGCTGGCTGCAGTCCAATGATCCCTGGTCGTACTGCTCAGAAATGACAATGCTTTAAATTTGCAGGCCATTGAAAAAGAAGAAATAAAGTGGAAGTCAAAGCACGTGCCCAAGCCTCCTCAGACTGACCCGCTGTACTTTGGGTCTCGGTACCAGGTGTCCGGTCCATCAGATCTTGAGATAACCCCGACAGTAAGTGGGACTGTCCGGTGCTAGCACTCAGGCAGGAAACACTGGGAATCTCTGCCCCAGAGCAGCTGTCAGAATCCACCTTACTAATATTCAGAGCGAACAGGGACAGTCATTGGTGGTGTGAGGTATTAATGGGATCAGATACTTACCTGGTGATTTTTGTCCCCATGAACAGGGTTAAACTGCTTAGATTTGGGATTGTAGTAGGGTCCTCAGTGGGCTGGGTGGCCTAGTGCTTAATGTCCAGTCAGCTGGGGGTGGGGTAGAGGTAGGGGAGCCCGGGCCCAACCACTCCACCGGGCTCTGACCCAGGAGGCTCAGCAGCACGGAGGGTTGTGGACCCTCTGTGTTACCCTCCCTGGGTCACTTCCTACCATTGCTCTCTCCACTTCTGGTCCCAGATAAGGAGAAAGAAAATATAAAAGGGAAAGCAAACTGTCAGCCCCAACCAGGCTCAGCACACGGTCCTGGAGGCGTCAGGGAGGCGTCTCTGACTCCTTTGCGTGAGCCTCCAGGATGTCTGCATTCCTCCCTGTCCCCAGCCTCCCCCTTCTGACCTGGGCTGCTCCCTCTTCAACCCTGTCTCCAGCTGGTGCTGCTCTGCAGGGTCGGAGAGGCGGGGCTAGCTGGGCCCAGTATTGTCCTTTAACCCCTTCCTTCCCAGTGTGGGGTTTGTATACCCCACACAGGGATCAAGAAGGAATTTGTCCCAAAGCTATATTGGCAGGGACCTAGGAGGTGGGGTTCACTTTTCTCTGGAGCATTGGGCAGAGATCAGACCCTACAGTCAGCTGCGGGTGTCCCACTATCAGCTCTGGGAGATTTCAGGGATGCCTAGCATTGGTGAACCCTAAACTTTCTCACCACTCCTTGTGTCTAACCCTCTGATCCTGAGATCTGTGATTTCCTGAAGGTACTCGCTCAGAGCCCACCTACTCTATGAGTGCTACCATATCATGAACTGGTTACAAAAGTTTCTTCCTGACACGGTTCCATTTTGCAGTGTAGACATGATCTTAACCATATCCCTGAACTGTCCAGCAACCCTAAATTGTCCACGGTTTTGGGACAGCTCAGGGACACTGTTGAATCCCATCTACCCTACAAATTGGAACCCGGCTTTAACAGTTTCTAGAACAACCACATTGTAAGCAGGTGCCCTGCCATGGCTGTCAGCTCGGACAGACCCTTATGAACCCTGGCAGCTGTATGTTCCCCTGGCAATTCTCTCGCTGTTCTGGGAGGAGATGTGGCCTGGTGCATGTGATTGTTCATTCCTGCTCTTGGCTGAGGAGGGAGAGTCTCCCAACCCCTTCTCTCTTTGCTTCAGCAACTGCACTTCTGCTATCGGAGCCCAGGGGAGCAGCAGTCGTATACTGAGATCTACACCAGGGAGATGGAGAAGGAAATCAGGCTCCATGTGAATGGTCAAGATGATGGCAGCTTGGTCTGGGAGGCCTTGGTGAGGCCAGGTAGGACCAGCAGATTGTAGTTCCATGTGGATGACATTTTGAGCAGAACTTCAGGGGAGATGGGGTGGTTATTGTGAGCCATGCTCATGCTGGGAGCAGTGATCTGGGAGAGGTACAGAGGCCCCAACCCAAAGCCCATTAACATCTGTGGGAGACTTTCTATTGACCTCATTGGATGTTGGCTGGGGCCCTAAATCAGCTGTCAGAGATTTGCAATCTCCATCGCTGAGGCAAATAATCTTATTCAACTGAACTGAGTCCTGTGGATCAAACACCACAAAATCCCCTTCCCCTCTAACCAGGGCAGTTTGTTCTCCAACAGCGAGATCAGCACCCATTGAGGGGAGCCATGCTTGCTCCGTGGTGGGGATTATCTGTGGTCCCTGCAGGGAGGGCAGATGTGACGTGGGCAGCAGTCTGCCACTAAGGAAAAGGAGCCCAAAAAGGGAATCCTAATTTTGTCAGGTCCCATCCCTGAGTTTAATGTGAAGATCCCCAAGGGAGAGAGGAACCAACTGTGGGGAGATCGGGGGGGGTGTTGCACGGCTGGTCTCCTAGGTTCCCAGTGCATACATAGCAATGCATCTGACTTTTTAAATTCAATTTCCAATTAAAATAAAATAACCAGGATACACAGCACAGCGCAAGAGGGAAAGTGCAGTTCCACACTACAGGCAGAGATGAGAGGAATATCCAGCTTTTACAGTACATGGCCCATCTTAAAAAAATCCGAAATCATCCATTCTACTCTCCATCACTTTTTTAACTCCCTGGAGAGAAAACATTGACTAGCAAGTTATAGCATGCAGGGAATACAGAGACTTGCTAACTTGTATCACACATTGAACAGCACACAATGGACAGGATAGGATGAGAAGAGAGAGAGAGAAAACACACTGTTAGGGATGGAATGTGTCACTGAAAATTGCAAAGAGGAACAACAAACCTGTGTTTGTGGCTGCTGTGCCATGAGCGATGTTAAGAGGGGAGAATTCTCTGCTCAAACATCTGGAGAGACTGCACTCATTAAGGCTTCCAGTTAAATTCAACTGAGAATGTGAGACAAGATTTTGTGTTCCTAATCTCTCTGGATCTCTGCCAAGAGCTGCGACCCTCTCAGTGTCGTCGTTAGTGTGAAGACTCACACACTTTGCATCCTCCCTAAGGAAGTCAGTCCAGCAAGCTCTAAACAGCCCCACCTTGCACCCCAGAGAGAGGGTAACTCATTTCACAGGATGCTCTAGTATCCCCCAGAATAATGGTTAAGTCCTAAGCCCCTGTGATGGGACAAGTTCCCATCCCACCCGGGAGGGGATTAATGAGCTCCTCTGCGCACGCTCAGCTCAAACCCGATACACCTGTGAGGCCTCTGCGGCCTGGAGAAGGCTGGCTCCTTGGGCAGTGGGAGGTGGCACTCAGAGCGAAGCAGAGCTCCCAACCACCCCGAGCAGGGACTGCCCACTAGAGAAGCAGCTGCCTGGACTCTCTAGATAAGTAGAGGGACCTTTTTACTTTGGGGTTTTTGTTTTTCTCTTGGAGCCTGGACCCCTCAAACTGACAAGGTGTCACAGACCCAGCTCTTGCTCAGAGACTGTTACTCCATTCACCTTACAAGGACAGCGGGTGAACTTAGGCTGACTAGGAGACTGGTTCTCTTTTCCATTTAGATTACTGCTAAGCCCCAGAAACAGGGGAACTACCCCTGAGACTCGTAGCCAGAGGGACATTCCCCGCCCACTCTCCTTTGGCAGACCAACATTATACCGTCTTTCCCCGAAAGTAAGACATCCCCCGAAAATAAGACCTACTTCCAGTTTTGCCTCTCGCTGTAATATAAGGCATCCCCCTGAAAATAAGACCTCCCCGATAATAAGGCCACCCCGGAATATAAGGCCCTGAAGCTACCGTAAGGCGTCTGACTCCTCTGGACTGTAGCGGCGGGCGCTGCCGCGCAGCTCACTGATTGGCCGCAGCGCAGCCAATAAATGTGTACCGTATTCTTCTTCATGGAAAAATAAGACCTCCCCTGAAAATAAGACCTAGCGCATCTTTGGGAGCAAAAATTAATACAAGACACTGTCTTATTTTCGGGGAAACAGGGTAGTAACACTTGCAGCCAGAGAAGAGTGTTGGGGACAGAGCAAGTGCCTGTCCCCACCCCACGGGGTGCTCTGGAACAGTGGCTCTCAACCCTTCCAGACGACTGTACCCCTTTCAGATTTGTCTAGCGTACCCCAAGTTTCACCTCACTCAAAAATGACTTGCTTACAAAATCAGACATACAAATACAAAAGTGTCCCAGCCACTATTACTGAACAATTGCTGACTTTCTCATTTTACCATATCATTATAAAATAAATCAATTGGAATATAACAATTGTACTTACATTTCAGTGTGTGGTCTGTAGAGCAGTATAAACGAGTCACTGGGTCTGTCTGAAATTTTAGTTTGTACTCACTTCACTAGTGCTTTCCATGTAGCCTGCTGTAAATCTAGGCAAATATCTAGCTGAGTTGATGTACCCCTGGAAGACCTTTGCGTACCCCCCGGAGTACACGTACCCCTGGTTGAGAACCACTGCTCTAGAGGCCTGGTCTGCAACACCCCCAAAATATTTTGATGCTGGTTCCTCCTGAGATTCCAGAAATTATCTTCAGGAAATTAACCAGCTCTTTGACGACTCTGTGTGGGAAGGGAGCTATCCAGTACTGTACGGCTTTAGGGACAGGTCAGACACCTGGCTGGCCACAGGGCTCTTGGAATGCAGAGCCTCTCAGATTGCCCATAGCCTCTGATAGTCTCCAGTGTTATCCAGGCCTCCCACAAATGAATCAACTTGCTGCTTGACTGATTCCTTTCTTTTCTCTTCTAGGGGATGTTAGTCTTTCCGCTTTGGCGCTCACAGGTCAGTCTGATTTTTACAGAGCTTTGAGTTTCCATAGTCTGAATCCATTCCGTTGGCATGTCCAGTCCTCCTGCTTGACGCACATACATTGGAGATGGAAAAAGACCTACTAGGTCACCTTCTCCATCACTGTGACCACACTCTGACCAAAATCCCTGTAAGCTAGAGTTAAGGTTGCAAAGACATATCAATTCCCAATGCTCTGTTGAAATCTTATCAGAATGTTGAGAGTTATAAACAAAACAAAAAAACTTGAAAGCCAAAAAATTCTAAGTTAAAGTTTTAAGATTGTTAAAAAAACAAAGTGTTCAAGGTTCTTGATAATTCCCCAATCTTAACCTTAACTCTGCCATGTGTGCCACCATACCCTTTATTCTGACCTGTTGAATTGCTTTTGTTGTATCCGTCAGGACTGGGAGAGCTAGAAAATACATTACTTAGAAATTGGTTTCTGCAATTAAAACAACCTTTCCGCCCCTGCCCACCCAACCCCTAACGGGGGCTGACTGTGACAAGCCCGCTGATAGGCAGCAAGTTATATGGGCCCGTGGTCCCCGTGCTCCACCAATATTCAGGAACATGGGCCTGGCTCTACCAATGTTTGGGCTTATATTTTCAGAGCCGTCCCGTCCATAGGACGGACCGGGCCAACTGCCCTGGGCCCCGTGCTTTGGGGGGCCCCACGCTTCAGGGGAACATGGGGTCCAGGGCGGCCTGGGGGAGTAGCGGGAGGCCTGGTGCCGGCAGCAGTGAGCGAACCAGCCCCAGCCCGCCCCGTCTCTTCCCGCTCCACCTCTTCCTCCAAACCCCTGCCCCATCTCTTCCCGCCCTGCCTCTTCCCGCCCCTGCTCTGACCCCTCCCTGCCCCCATTCCACCCCTTCCCCTGAATCCCTGCCCCATCAAAGAGATTGCACTACACTACTTTGTGACGGGTTCGGTCACAGAGACGCCCTTGGGACTGTCACCTGATGTGCTGAAATTACCTCTGAGCCCATTTTCCCTGCCAGCTTGGGACTCCAGAACCCTGCCTTATTGAGCCAGGCACGCTAGCCGGCTGCAACACAGACCCAGGTCTGGTCCATGCCCCCAAAGCTGCAGACTTTAACTAAAAACCACTCAGCACCTGTCTCCAGCACCCAGACACCCAGCTCCCAATGGGATCCAAACCCCAAATAAATCCGTTTTATTCTGTATAAAGCTTATACAGGGTAAATTCATAAGTTGTCCACCCTCTATAACACTGATAGAGAGATATGCACAGCTGTTTGCTCCCCCAAGCATTGATCACTTACTCTGGGTTTATTAATCAACAAAAGTGATTTTATTAAGTATAAAAAGTAAGATTTAAGTGGTTTCAAGTAATAACAGATGATAGAACAAAGTAAGTCACCAAGCAAAATAAATCAAAAACACGCAAGTCTAAGCCTAATATATTAAGAAACTGATTACAGATAATATCTCACCGTCAGAGATGTTCCAATAAGCTTTTTTCAGACTAGACTCCTTCCTAGTCTGGGCCCAATCCTTTCCCCGGGTACAGTCTTTGTAAGATCCAGCAGATATCTCAGGTGGTAAGCAGGGGTTTTCTCATGACTGGCAGCCTTTGTCCTGCTCCACCCCCGCCCCTTTATATCTTTGGCACAAGGCGGGAATCTTTTGTCTCTCTGGGTCCCCACCCCTCCTTAAATCTGGTATTTTTCCATTTAGGAGATGGATTTCATTATCAGGTGACATGGTCACATGTCACTGTAAGGCCCCTAGTCTCCATTCTCCATGGGCTGGCCCACACGTACACAGGAGGCTTTCAAGTAACTAAGGCCATTTACAACTGATTGTTTCTGGAGCATCCTTAATGGCCTCCGTTTAATATGTTTACATCAGTGATACAAGTTTATATCTTATTCGCCTAACTCCAGATATAGAAATAATACATGCAAACAAATAGGATGAACACACTCAGTAGATTACAAGCTTTCTAATAATGACATCATACAAGGGGTATTTAGCGTAAAGCGTATTCCGGTTATGTCATATTCATAAGCATATTCATCAGTCGCGCTGGCATGAATCTGGAGTAACTCAGCTCTCCTCAGTGGGGTGACCCTGGGCTGACAGTGGTGAATGGGAGAGCAGACACTGGCCTGTTAGCAAACTGGAACTGGATTTATAGACACTCTGGAATTCTCTGGCTTTGGGTTTATTTTCAAACCCTAACATTTTTTGGTTTGCTAATTGCATTTACCAATCTGCAGCGCTGTGTGCAGTGCGGTGACATTTCACTACTCCCCTAGCTAGCTAGCTTCATTACTCATATGACTCTAGAACTGGAGCCCCTCACAATCTTTACTGTATTTATCCTCCCACACTCCTGGGCAGAGCTATGATCGCCATTGTACAGATGGGCATGAAGGCCTAGAAAGGCTGAGTGACTTGCCCAAGGCCACGCCAGGAGTCTGTGGCAGAGCAAGGACTTGCACCCAGGACTCAGGCTAGTGCCTGAACCACTGGACAATCTTTCCTCCACTAGGGAGACTACTCTGCAGTCTAACGATGCCCCTGCTAAGAAATGGTTTCATGGTGTACATCCTAAACCTTCCCCGGCTCATTAATGATCACATCGCTAGCTGTACACACCACAGGAGAGGCTGCTGGGAGGGCCTGGAATGTGTAGCAATGTTGGCTGTTGCACCAGAACCGTAGGGTTGCTCAGTAGCCCTTTGCTGGTGTCTGAAGTCAAAATGGAGGAGTCCTTACCTACCATCTGCAACTGTAAGTGACTTTACAGCCTTTCTGCAAAGGCTGCGAGCTTTGGGCTAGAAGAGTCTCATGTACAGGGGTGGGAGCGAGTCCCTGCAACCCAGAGTGGCACGGGGGAGGAGGACTAACGTAGGGTTGTATCTCCCATGTACAGCAGAGTAATGCAGGGCTGGTGTCTCCATCAGGTGCAGCCTTCGTGGTGAAGCATCGGAGGCAGCTCCGTGATCGAATGGGACAGATCCAGCCTGTGCTGGTGCACTTACGGGAGGCCCAGCTACTTAGCAGTGAAGAAGAGGAAGAGGTGAGAAGTGAACGAACAAGTCGAATGAGGAACGATGCCTTACTGCGGCTGGTTGAGAGGAAGGGAGCTCAGGCCCAAGAAGACCTCTACCAGACTCTCAGAGAGACGGACCCTTACCTTGTACAGGACTTGGAGCAATCCAGCTAGGGCCTGGAGATTCTGCTAACTGTCACCTGTGCTTCTGGCTGTGCCATCGCCAGGCATCATGGAGCGATATGATTTATGTCATGTGAGGAGCTTTTCAAGCCTTCTGACACAGCCGCTGGGCCTGTGTCTCACCAGTATGTGCCACGCTAGCAGTGCAAAGGAGCTGGAAAGCTGGCTGACCATTCAAGATGGGGATTCCCCTGCATAGCTGACTCTCTGACCCCACTCACAACGGCCCCAGGGGCCCGCCGCAACCAGGCCCAACCATGAGCAGCCCTGACTCCTAGTCCAGAGCCTTCACCGGTAAATCTTCTGTGATAAATGAAAGGGGTAGGGGGGTAGCTCCCTTTTAGGGACACCCAGCCAGCCAGTTAGCTCTAAAATCCCTCTTAGTACTTCTTCTCTACTTGCTTTACCTGTAAAGGGTTAAAAAGTCTCCCTGCATAGGTAAAAGGAAGGGAGTGGGCACCTGACCAAAAGAGCCAATGGGAAGGCTAGAACTTTTTAAAATGGGGAGAGACTGGGCTGGAAGGATGCTGTAAGAAGCTTGGGGCCAGGTTTGAAAATCATCTGAATCACCTAAAAACTACTCATTTGAAACCCCAGATATAAGTAGATCAGGAAATGTACAGGAAGACGCGATTAGGTTTATCACTGTTTATTTCTTTATGCCTCGTGGTCTCCTCTGTGCTAACCCCAAATGCTTTTGTTTTGCTTGTAACCTTTAAACTGGATCTCAAGGTGGTTATTCTTGATGCATAATTCTTGTAAGTGGGTTTTTAAATCTAGCAATAGCCTGAGTTTTCAAATGTATTTTCTTTCTTTTTGTTTTTAATAAAATGTATCTTTTTGAAGAACAGGATTGGATTTTGTGTCCTAAGAGGTTTGTACACATGTTGTTTAATTAGCTAGTGGCAACAGCTGATTTCCTTTGTTTTATTTCTCAGTTCTTCCCCGGGGGTGTGTGTGAAAGGGCTTGAGGGTACCCCACAGGAAGGAATTCCCAAGTGCGCCTTCCTGGGTTCTCAAAGGGGTTTTGCACTTGGGTGGTGGCAGCATCTACCCATCCAAGGTCAGAGAGAAGTTGTAACCTTGGGAGTTTAATACCAGCCTGGAGTGGCCAATATTAATTTTTAGAGTCCTTGCAGGCCCCCACCTTCTGCTCTCAAAGTGCCAGAGTGAGGGATTAGCCTTGATGCCATCCGTCCTCCCTAACAAAGGCACTGACACCTGTAAGAACTCTTCAGCCGGCTCCCAGCAGCTCAATGCCTCAACCCGGCAAGTACCTCCTTCGCTGATCCCCCACCCCAGACTGGTCTTTAGGGGCCAGCCTGAACTCTAACCCTTGCGACTAAGGAAGTGTTGCCTCCAGCACAGCGGAATTCTATATTAGCCCTCATCTTGACAGATAAAGAGGGACTGATCATAGAACTAAAAATTAATGGTAACTTACATACAATTGATCATGACTTGATCACACTTACAATGTGCAAATAGAATAAAGTCCAGACCAATGATAGTGCTTCAAAAGGGCCAGTTTCACAAAGCTAAAAATAATTATGAGCCAAATCAGCTGGGAGAAAAAAAATCAAATCAGAAAAATGTGAATGACAATTGGGAATTGTTTAAGGACACTGTAGTACAGGGGGTCTCAAACATGCGCCAACTCTGTGGGTGCTCCAGGGCACCCACCAGCAGCCAAGCTCCCTGCTCCTCCGCCTATCTCCCAGCATTTCCCACCCAACCACCACCAAACAGCTGTTTGCATGCTCTGGGCGGGGGGGAGGAGCGGGAATGTGGCGCGCTCAGGGGAGGAGGTGGGGAAGAGGCGGGGGCAGGGATTTGGGGAAGGGGGTGGAATGGGGCAGGGAGGGGGCAGAGTTGAGCTGGGGACTTTGGGGAAGGAGTGGGAATGGGGGTGGGGAAGGGGTTAGAAGAGGTGGGGCTGGGGCGGGGCCTCATGGAAGGGGGCGGGGCCGGGGGCAGAGGAAATGCAGATGGAGTTAGTGGAGCTTCAGTGTGATACCATTTTGAAGCAGAAGTATACAGATGTGGGAATTCCAGAATTCTACCGCTTTCTTTCACAAGAAAGATTTCCCCGTGTTATTCTCTGCTTCCGCAAGGGTAATGGCAATGTTTGGAAGTACATATATATGTGAACAGTTTTTCTCTTCCATGAAGATTAACACATCTGGGTTAAGGTCAAGGCTCACTGATGAACATTTGCAAGCAACACTGAGATTGGTTTCGTCTCAGGATATCAAACATAATATTGATGCTCTGGTTGATGCAAAACACTGCCAGCTAAGTGGCCAAAAATGAAATGACTGTCAAAATTAGCACTGACTTTTCGCATTACAGTTTTAAAAAAGTTAATACATTGACTTTTAATAGCATACTATATTACTCTTCATTTTTTTCGACTATACTTTTGTATCATTATATGAAAAGGTTTCAGTGATGCGGCCCTCGGGCCAATGTACTAGTCCTCATGTGGCCCTCGTGGTGATTTGGGTTGGAGATCCCTGCTGTAGTAGAAAGAAAGAGCCTGAAGCATGGGCCTGGTGCAAGGCTTGAGGCCTGAACCAAAGTCAGCAAAAGTTATGCTATGAGCAACAGTCAGGCCCTGTCAAGAGCCAGTGTCCAGTATATGAACTCGACACCGGTATTGCTTGCATTGCTAAAACACACTGAATATGTAAACACATTCCAGCAGGCCACTACAAGAACACCCCAGCCTAGCACACGATAAAATGGCTTGACAAAAGTGATGAATGGTGATATTTTGTCTGAAACATCAGGAGTGAGAGTACAAAGCCAGGTGGTAAATAGGAATGTTTTGTCTGAAACATCAGGAGGAAAATACAAGGGGAGGTAACAAACACGCCATGAAACGCGTATGGAGATACATAAGCTGTTTATCCCAGATTGTTTGTCTCTGTCTATAAATGTTGGTATATCTCACCTTAACCCTTCATCCAGCCTAGGGGTTAGTGGAAAGTCCCGCCACTGACTGAGCGGTGTCCATTGTCACAGGCATACATGTCTTAGGGCATGTCTACACTAACAGCCGGATCAACGGGCAGCGATCGCTCCAGCGGGGGTCGATTTATCATGTCTAGTATAGACACGATAAATTGACCACCGATCGCTCTAGCATCGACTCCGGTACTCCACCTCAACGAGAAGCGCAAGGGTCCGTCGACACACCATAGTGAAGACACTGCGGTAAATAGATCTAAGTACATCGACTTCAGCTACGTTGTTCACGTAGCTGAAGTTGTGTAACTTAGATCGATCTCCCCCCGTAGCATAGACCAGCCCTTAGTATCCTCGCAGAGTCTGCCAGGTGCTATTGCTTCATCGACAATAAACCTGGCCGGCTGCCTTCGCTACTAAACCAAGTCTTGTGGTCACTGGGCAGTTCGACTGAGGTCTGCTGTGCCAGCTATCTGCGCAGAGCTGGGACAGCACACAAAGAACACATGCACGCAGCCGACAAACACTTTACTAAATGCCCAAAAAGCCACAATCGAGGAAGAAGGGTGTATTGGTTAAAAAAATCTGTTTGAGCGGGGAAGTGAAGGCAGCTATAATATACACCTCTACCCCAATATAACACGAATTCGGATATAAGGCGGTAAAGCAGTGCTTCAGGGGGGCAGGGCTGTGCACTCCGGTGGATCAAAGCAAGTTCCATATAACGCAGTTTCACCTAAATCGCGGTAAGATTTTTTGGCTCCCGAGGACAGCGTTATATCGAGGTAGAGGTGTAGTACAAAATAGAACAAGTGAAAGAAAGGGGAAGTTGATAGTAATAAATATAAATCAGAAGCTAAAATTGATATGGGAAGCAAAACGACACAAGGGGAAATATATGGCCAACAGAGACAAGGACAATAAGGAGATTTTTAAGTATATCAGGAACAAAAAGAATCCTTACATTCTTTTCTGGTCTGTTACTAAAAGGAAATAGTAGAATTAATTGTCAATAATAATGAAGAAAAGGCAGAAGTGTTCAATAAATATTCCTGTTCTGTATTTGGGGGGGAAAACAGAGGATGTAGTCATATCATAGGATAACACTTTCTATTCCACTAGTATCTCAGGAGGATATTGGACAGCAGCTACTAAAGTCAGACATTTTTAAATCAGAAGGTCTAGTAACTTGCATCCAACAGTTTTTTAAAAGGGCTGGCTGAGATGCTCACTGGACTGTTAGTGTTGATTTTTCAATAAGTTTTGGCGCATTGGGAAAATTCCAGAAGACTGGAAGAAAGCTCATGTTGTGCCACTATTTTAAAAGGGTAAACGGGGCACCCCAAGTAATTATAGCCCTGTCAGTTTGACATTGATCCCAGGCAAGAAAATGGAGCAGCTGATACAGAACTTGATAAAGAAAGAATTAAAGGAGGGCTGTATAATTAATGCCAATAAACATGGGTTTATGGGAAATAGATCCTGTCAAACTATCTTGATATCTTTTATTGATGAGATTATAAGATTAAAAGGTCATAGTGTTTGATGCAATATACTTAGACTTCAATCAGACATTTGAATTGGTACCACTTGACATTTGATTAAAAATTTGAAAGCTGTTTAATGAACATGGCACACATTAGATGGATTAAAAACTGGCTAACTGATAGGTCTCAAAATAGAGTTGTAAAGGGGAAATCATCATCATCAAATGGGTGTGTTTCTAGTGTGGGCCTGCAGGAACTGGTTCTTGGCCCTGTGCGGTTTAACATTTTTATTAATGACTTGGGGAAAAAAACCCATAAAATCATCACTGATGAAGTTTGCAGATCACACACAAATTGTGGGAGTAGTAAATAATGAAGAGGACAGGTCACTGCTACAGAGTGATCTGGATCGCTTGGTAAGTTGGGTGCAAGCAAATAATGTACATTTTAATATGGCTAAATATAAATGTATACATCTGGGAACAAAGAATGACATTGCTTGTCCTGTTTCCCAAAAGAAATTAACCCTTTACAGCCGGTGGGTCACAATACAAGGGAGAGGGGAAACTGAGTGACAGATGTTATCCATACAAATAAATCAGAAGAGTGCCAGTTCGCCACACCGTCCATATGCAAAATGGAGGACTAGTCTGTGGGATGGTGCAATGGGGTATACTCTCTACACTGGCTCTGAGGGCTGAGGTAGGCCAGGTGGGCCCAATCAGCCAATTAAGTAGCAAAGGGTAACATAGGCTGAGTGGGGAGCTTTGATTAGAGGGAAGCTCACCTGATTAGAGGTGGGCTTGGCTAGTATATATCCTGGAAGTTGGCAGCAGCAAAGGAGGCCGGGAGGAAGTTTGTGGTGACGTTCTGTGTATTAGAGAGGAAAGGAGGGAACCCAGGGAAAGAGTAGG